ATGTGTTTAGAATTTTTTCACTGCTGTGTCTCTGGCAATAAGCTTTCATGCCTTACTTTTATGTAAGCACCTTTTAATAAATATTGAGTTGCTTATTTTTTATTTTTGTTTACCACTACACATAGTCAGCATGATTTCCTTGTAGAGGTTACATTATAGGAAATGCCATATTGACTCCTAACTAAAACGGAGAGCTTTTGACATTTGAAAAACAATGGCAGAAGAATTTTAGTGGCTTTACTTTTCTTATAAAATGTCCAGTATTGACATGCTTGACAGTGGTACCATTGGTGTTCTTACCTGTGGAGGTTAGTTAGCATTTACCTGCTTACAATAACAATGGTCATATCTTGAAGAACTTGTTTCAGTTGGTCTGTGGAGTCTACCAAGGGGAGGGTACTGTTCTGGCTCGTGCTCTGCGAGCTTTTCAAAGGAGATTTCGCGATATTCTTGGGCTAGAGCTATAATAACTTAAAAAAAAAAAAAAAGCCTACGTTATGAAGTGCAAATCTGTGATAAAGCAAATTTTACAGCAAATTGAGCAGTTGTGGAATCTTAGAATGCATGAAACTCATGAAAAAAGGTGCCTGTATGGTAAGCTGGAGTATGGTCAACAGAGGAAGTGGAGGGAAACAGAAAGAATCCTTTTATGGGTAGTGGCAACAGCTTACTGATGTCCACATTTGGAATTTATAGACAATAACTGAAAAGCTTGGTGTATACCATAAAGTCTGCAAGTTCTTCTGTAGTGTAGCTCTAAGTGTGTGGCACAAAGAGTGTACATGGCCTTCTTATACAGTTCTCTGTATAGAAATGCTGAAGAGAAGTCATTCTGTATATACATTTCTCTATAAGGCGGCAAAAAGATGTTCTTGTAAGCATCTTTCACTTATTTGCTAGTTGCTAGTTAGATGCTAGCTAGCTTAATTGCTAAATGCTGGCTTAAACGATGAGATCTCAGAAAAGAGATAATAGAAGCACTGGCACAGTCTCAACAACCTTGCAGGTGTTAGGATTAAAAAAAGCTTTAAGAACTTCAAGAACACCACAAGGGCAAGACCAGTCTGTACAGATGTTTCCTTCAGTTGTTTGTGAAGGGGAGGGGGTGCTCTTATTCTATTGTTTCGGTTGTCCCTTTTCTCCTGGGGTTTTGCTCGGCTTCAGTTTAATCCAGAGCAGCAGAATTCTCTGATAGAGCATACCAGACTGGGAAGGAGGGATCTTTCCTTAAAACCTGACAGACCAGGAGAATCAGATAGTCAGGGCAAGCAGTTCTAACGATTAGCAGTGACAGAGCAATCCCTAGTGAGTGGAAGATTGAAATGGCTTTGTTTTAGACATAGTGTGGAGAAAGCAAGAGAAACTACCAGCCGTTTTAAAGTGTTTGCATGTTAGCTGAACCAATGGCAAGTTTGCTCTCCTTGCAAGGAAGGTCTCTCTTTCTTGATGAAAAGATTGGTTGGTTGGTCTGGTGAGTGTTCTCTTTTTATTGATTTTAAAATGTGATGCTTGTGGCATGCTGTGAAATAAGGAAGGTGAATATGTTAGTAAAATGTGGAATACTTCATGTTTGTAGTACTTCATCGCATCAGTGAGTAATTAAGTGCTAGAAATACTATTTAACTGAGTTGTGGAGAACAAAGTTTCTGCAGCAATGGCATGCTGTGCTACTAAGCACTTCATGAAGGTAGAGCTCCATTGCCAGCCATGTATTTTAAGGGTTGAATTTGATCATTTTTTCATGCAAAGTTTTTGGTTACTTTTTTACACCTTAGAAGGTTACAGAATGAATCAGTAACTCTTTCGGAGCTAATGTGAATGAATGGAAGTGCAATAATTCAATACATTAACCCTCAGCAAATACAACTAAGAATATATATCCCACACGTAAGTATTGCTGAGTTAATTGAGAATTTGCTTTATGTTTATAAACAGTGTATGAATAGAACTCTTAGCTGATTTTTCTGCCTCAAATGAACTCTTGCTCTACATTGGAGGGGGATTTTATAATAAAATAAAGCAGTTGTATCTAGTTGTATCACAATCTGATGGTGTGTAAAATTTTGTGGGAGCTTTCAAGACGATTAACTAATGGCAACTTGAATTCTGTGTAGAATTTGTTAAGAGTTGCAGCTCTGCTGTGACAAAAGATAGAACGGATGTACAGTGTGGTCTTTTTTTTCTTTCCCTCCCTAGGAAATCAATTAGCTGAAGCTAAAAATAAATTTTAGTTTTTTTATTTTTAGCTCGACTTCCTAAGGAAATAAGGCTTCTGTCACTGCCCTGCCCCTCCATTTCTACTTTAGAAAATCTGGATGTTTGAAATCAAATCTAATGTAGGAGTGGCGTTTTCAAAGATGAAAAGTTTTTACAAACTTAATGCAAATCAGTGGCTAAGCAGCCAAAAGTCTCAAATTAATCTCCCTGAGAATTTACAGTATGAGCTCAAATGTTGTCTGTTCAGTTGCGGTGTTGGTTGGTCGGGCAGCATGTGGGTGTATAGATCGCCAAAGGAGGGAGCTTTGGCACACTAGTGCTTAGCGGGTGAAAATACTGCGGGGTTTGCAAACAGGAGAAACCGAGGCCCTTGTGGGAGGGAATGTCAATGAGTCACAGGGCGGGGGGGGCATGATGGCAGCAAAGAGGGAAGAAGTTAGGTGTTAATAATGAAGAATAAACTTAAAATAGAAACACTAAAAACTCATATTCCAGAAATTCTTAGGAAATCAGGCTTTACTAGCTCTGCCTCTCCGGGAATAATTTGTTCATACGATAAAATACGTGTAAGGGAACTGAACTAGAATGATGCTACAGCTTGTTTTGACTGTAGTTTTGGTGAAACTACATAATATTGAAGTTGTTTTACAGGACAATAATTAAAGTAAACTGTATGCTGTGAGTTGCTTCCTAAATTGACAGTTTAAGAACTCTGTATCCAAAACAAACTGCTTCATGTTTATATTTTTCCAGGATAGACTTACATATATCTTTCACTATTTTTGGTCACTGCTTACCAGGGCTGGACTTGCATGACCCCTGCCTCTTAGAAATTTGCAAAGCTATCCCATCTGCCGTAAACCTACTTTGTTTTGCAAGCAAAGTATTTCTGTCTATTGTTTGCCTATTGTTTTACTTGATGTAATATAGTATAGCTTGCTATTTCAGTTGATTTCTAATTACCTTATTTGACTATTTTAAAAATTGCTACTGTATAGTGCAACTTCTGATTTATTTTTTCCATATGTAGCAGCTAATTTTTGGAAAAAATTTGGAGCTGGACTTAAACAAAACAAAAATATATAAAAATATATATATTAAAAAGTAAATAAAAGAAAGGCAGGAGCATGAACTCCTTCCATGACCTTACAGCTAATTGCTGATTAATATTTTGATTATATTTTTAAAGCAAAAACAATAATGGGCAATAGTTAAGTACTATCCATTAAGTAAAAAGCAGTATTTACGGTTCTGGGTTTGTGGTGGTGGTGTGTTTTTGTTGTTTTGTTTTTTGTTTTTTAACTGAATTGAATAAGAAAAGGAGCATGACAGTTTTGCCAGAACACATTATCAAAAGCACAAAAAAACCCCACCTGATAACATATGAAGCTAGACTACTGAATTCAAGAGAATTCATTGGAGAAGAAATACAAACTTGAGACAAGAAATTGCTCAAGATGAAAATAGCATAGGTCTTTTTAAGGTAGCTATTTGATAGCTTTCTTTTCTCAGTACCTTCAGGGACTGGCAGGAGGAAATAGCTTGTAGTCTCAGCCTTTAACCAACTACTGTAGCTACATGAAATAATAGGATGCAAGAAGATGATGATATGCACTAAAACGTGACTTTAGAGGAAATGAAGTTACCTTCCGGTAATAAATACCGCATTTTACATTGTAATTAACTGGACCCATCTTTGCTTATTTTTGGATGAACTGTCTATGACATGTGTAGCATCTTCATCAATATCAGTTACTTCTGTTTCCAGCTGCTATAGTGTATTTCAGTTTTTCAGTTAAGTACAGTTGAGTAAGCCACAAGTTCAACTCGAGAAATCGTAGACCTGCTAATTGTTGGAGGCTGTGAGAGTCTTCTCATGAAGTATCACTATACGCTTGCTCTATTTCTTGATAACTGTCCTAAGCATCAGATGTTAGTCCAGAATCCTGGATTAGATGGACAACCTGGCAGCATATTAATTCTTGCATTCATCATTTTTCTTTGTTTTTGTTGTTGTTTTACCTTTAAGCAATAGCTTTCTCAGGCACAATTTTTTAAAGTTTATATAGATTCTTTCACTCCTAGATGATAATGAGTGAAGAAGAGAGTTTTTTCCCGTGTCAGATACAGTGTGTGGACATTATTTTGATAATGCTTTAGGAATCTATTATAATCTACCAAGCTGCTTTGAAAAGAGTTTTAATTTAACTGCCCTTCTTTTCTGTGCTAGATTGTCCTCATCTGTGTTACCACTTCCCTTTTAGTTATGCTTTGTCCTCCATTTCTCTGCATCAGCATCTGTTCTGGTCTTGCATTGTGAGCTTAACTACAAGGCACTTTATGCTTCTGAAGTGCCTATGCTAATTTCCCATTAGCAGTACATAAAGATTCTGCCATGTTTTGGCTTTTGCAAAACAGTCGGTAACATCTGTAGTTGTTGTTACCCACATCTAAAACTCAAATTTTCAGGTGATGTAGAGTATCTTGTTAAATAATTGTACCACTGCAAACCTTGCATATTTAAGTTTAAGTAGCAGATGTGTGTTATGGGTAGTTGGCTTTCAGCCAAAAGTGGAAGTGAACTGTTAGATCTACTGTTTCTTTTTGTTGTTGAGTATTTCACAAATTCCATAACCATAACTCAGACTTTCAGCATAGGATTAAGTATTTCTTAATTTACTGTGAGCACATCTTTCATCTTTTAAACAGATTTTTTTTTAATTAGAGTTTATTTTCAGTTTTCTTAAAGATTTAACTTATGTTCATTTACTGGTTTTTAACAGGTCATCTGAACGAGAATCACCAAAGTGAGTTTTCTTTAAACTTTCTACTATGGAATCTTTAGCTTTAAGATATGCAGTAAAATAGATAACTTGAACTGAGTTTTCACAATAGCGATCTTGTAGGGTTAGAAGACAGACATAAATGTATAAACCAATGAAGATTGTAAAGCTTTTTTGAAAAATTAAGGCTTGGGATCATGATGTGGCAAGTCTTTAAGTCCTAACATGCCCCTAACCACTGTTAACAGAAAAGCTGCTTTTTAAACTGTTCAGTAGAACATTTTGTAAAAGCTTAATAATGTTAAAATCCATTGGTAATTTTATCTGGAAACTCTTTATAGAGTGCCACAGAGCATTAACTGAAACGATTTGTTGCATTTGTATTTTTTTCCTACAGTGGAGAATCATTGTGAACTGTAATCTACTGTTGTAAGGGAAAATCTTTTTTAAAAAGATATATTCTGAAAAATTATCTTAGCATGATGTATTTACATATGCAGTATTGGTACTTACTTAGCAACAGATCATGAAAGGTCGTGGAAGTTACTAGATGAAAATCCAAAATTTTGAGGGTATAATTCTGTGTTTGAACTGTCATTATAGTTCACTACTTCGAAGTCTTTTCAGCTTCACAGAGCCAAGAGAGCAATATCTCCTGAACACTGAAAAACATCTTCTGTAATAACTGAAAATTCTGCAAATGTTGCACAAAAAAATTAATTCATATTAAATTTAAATGTAGTAAACTATATTTAAATAGTAGTAAACTGCACATCAGAAGTATTAATGCAAGAATAACTTTGCTTGCACTGTGCATGGTGCACTGTGGCCCTTCAGAATGTTTTAGTTGCACTCGCATTTGTACAAACCAAGGAGTGAGTCTTTGCTTTCTTAAAGCTTACTGCCTTGTTTGTGCTGTTTGTTAGGCCTAAGTTGCGTGCCTCCCTAGTGTAGTACTAATTCTTCGTTGGCAGCTAGCAGTGGCTACTGGGAATTGTTCAGAAAGGCTCACATGTAGTAGTTATATGCTAGGCTATTACAAGGGAAGGGACAAATATTTGAACTCACAAATTTTAATGCCAGTATTTGTTTGCATATTCTTCTGTTACCTCCACCCTGTGAGAATTTAATGTCGCTTTTAGAAATGGTGAAGAAGTTTATTGAAAATGAATTGCATACATGCTAGAACACACACGTAACAGCATGTGTACTTCCAAGGACCAAATATACTTAATTGCAATGCTGAGTTGCCGTTAGCAGTGCAGAGTACTTTTGCAAAGTATACTGCCACTGAGCATGATGATCTGAGATGCAAGTGAAAGGTCTTCTGCACGGGGGCAGTATGAGTAGTCAGGGCTTGGTTTTGCCATACGCACAGCTGTATGTCATCGATGTGAAACCGTATCCAAGTTTTCCCTGAGTCAAAGCATTTTCGTAATGTATTGTGTAGTACATACCAAGATGAAGTAGTTACTGTGTATGATATCTGTGAGTTTGATCCAATTGAAGAAGAATTTTAGTTTTATTAGGCAGAGATCTGCATTTCTTCCTTTTCAGAAGTGTGTATATAGATAAAGTGAACGTTTTAAAGTGTATAGAGCACCACCAGAGAATTTAGCCAATTTGAAGATTTGAGGCATTCGTTTACTTTACTCAACTTTTTTCCTTATTTCCTGAATTTTAAGGTTCTATTATTACGTCAACTAAAGGATATATTAGCTGACATTGAACCCTTTGCTGTCTCATTTATTTCTTGCGGAATTTACCATGGCTTTTCTGCAAACTGCCTTCTCTCAGAGGGGCAATGCTGAAATAGCACCCATAGGAGGAATGAAGCGTATGCTGGAACTTTGCAAGAATTGCGGTGGAATCACTGTCTTAAGTTTTTTCATGGGTAGGATTGGCAACTGACATACTGAAGCCCCTGGGTTTCAGCTCTTGTTTCCTTCAGGTTACTGTGATTTCCTGTACCACTGCAACAGTATCTTTCACTGCTAACCTCCAGGTATTTTGCTAATAATGTTTCTACTTGTCTAGTTTTGTGTCCAGTTTTGGATGTCCACTGATCAAATGATATGCTTAGATCATCCTCCAGTTTTGCTACTTTGCATCACAAGAAGCAGATATTAAGTCTAAAGTGTAAAGCTGGCTTCTTTTCTAAGTAGGCAGTATATTTGTAGGTTTCACCTTGTTGAACTTAAAACTCTCGACAGTAGCACCTTGTTAATATTTATCTATCTTTTTTAAATGAAGGAACGTGTTGGAAAATAGTCCAACGCAGAATTCTCTGACCCATACCTCACCTAAAGCTTTGTCTCCGTCTCCCAGTGGAGTTGATACAAGCCTTTTGGGCCCTTACCCAGTGGAAGGAGTGGATAAGCAGTTCCTAGAAACGTATGACAACGTTACAAAAAGCCACTTAACAGAAGATTCCAGTCAATACTACTGTGATAAGGTATGTCCAGTTGGGTTATTTTAAATTCAAAACTAGTATTAAATGTAGCTTTGAACTGTAGTTTAAGAACCCGAAAAAAATTGTGGCTATATTGCAGGAAGAGCATATGTTACACGTTAATAAGGATAAATCTTTTCTTATTACTCGGATTTACCCAGTGCTGTGTACCCAATATGATGGGCAAGCCTGCCAACTGCACTGGTTCGCAGAGTCCAGGTTTCCAGGAGCATCTGCCAGGAAAGTTCCTAATGGAATGGAAAATTCTTGCGTGATTGAGTCCTATTTCCTTGTCCTCATGGAAAGATGAGATAACTCGGGCTGCTTTATGTCTCGATAGCAAGCACGACTCTGCTCTACCCCCAGCGTTTCCTCTTTAGGACTTGGAAAAAATCATACTTTGAATCCTGAGGTGGCTAGAGAGCAATCACTCCCTACTAGTCTTATGGTAGCCTATCACTTCTCCCCACTTTTTTCAGCCACGGTAGTGCTGTGGCAGCTTACTAACTTGCCTTCCCAGTAGCTGCTGCCAGATTTTAGCTAGTCTGACCTGGGATCTCCTGCAGAAGGTGACAGTGCCCTCTCTT